CATCAAAGGCTCTGGATTTGAATCCTGGTGTGACTGAAGAACAACGGGACCTCAGGCAAGTCCATCCCTTTGTTTTTCTAAGCCTGAGTCTTTGTCTCTATTAAATAGGGTTATTATTTCCCTCCCAAAGTGTCTGTGAGGATGGGGACAGATAAGGCCTATAAAGCATGAAGTATGAAGAACTTGTAAGCACGAAATCAACAGGAGTCACCATTCTCTTGCCCTCTTTCCTTCATATCATAAAACATGCAAAAAAACCAAACTCACAGTGACCAAGAATTGGAGGACAGTTCATTCTCTAAATGCACTCTCACTCTTCAATTCGGCAAAGGATCCTTTTAAATAAACCAAGCCTCTCACTTGGTGTTCAAACTGCCCTTTCCCTAGCTCCCAGTAGCCTGTCAGAGGGCACACCATAAATACTTGCAGAGTGCCTGACTGGGCAAGTGCGCTCGCTGCGCAGAGAGTTCTTACCTTAGGACATGCTCAGTGTCTGCCTCACTAGCTTCGATTAACAATCTCTTCCTGAGCCCTAGCTCAGGGGGTAGTGGAAGGAGTGGGAGTGACATATTGAGCTTCATTTGATGAATCTTTAAAGGGGAGACAAGGTGTGGCTTTAGCCTAGTGGGCCCCTTCCTTCCTCCCTCCCTCCCTCCCTTCTTTCCTTCCTTCCTTCCTTCCTTCCTTCCTTCCACATATCCATTCACCCACCCACCCACCTATATACCCACCCATCTGTCCATTCATTTGCTCATCCACACTGTCACTCACCCACTTATACCTCTATCTATCCACCTTTAACTCACCCACCCACTCCTCCACTTGGACACCATTCCATCCATCCGTCCATTTGTCCATCCATCCTATTTACCCACTCATCTGTCCATCCATCTGCCCATCCATACAGTTACTCACCCACTTATACCTCTATCCACCTACCTTTCATTCACCCACCAACTTCTCTACTTGGCCACCGTCCAATTCCATTCATCCACCCATCCACCCATCCATCCATCCATCCATCCAATTTACTCACCCATCTGTCCATCCATTTGCCCATCCATCCAGTCACTCACCCACTTATACCTCTATCCATCTACCTTTCACTCACCCACCAGCTTCTCTACCTGGCCACCATCCAATTCTATCCATCCACCCATTCATCCATCCATCCATCCATCCATCCATCCATCCATCCATCCACCCACCCACCCATCCAATTTACTCACCCATCTGTCCATCCATTTGCCCATCCACACAGTCACTCACCTACTTATATCTCTATCCACATACCTTTGCATTCACCCACCCATTCCTCCACCTGGCCACCATCCTATCCATTCATCTATCCACCCATCCCATCCGTCTACCCATCCATCCCTCCACCCATCTCATCCATCCATCTCCATAGTATTAATCTACACATTCCATCCAACCATCTCATCCATCCATCCATCCATCCACCCACCCATCCATCCCATCTGTGCATCTGTGCATCCATGTATCCATCCATGCATCCACACATCCATCCATCCATCCATGCATCCATTCATGCATCCATGCATCCCATCCATCCATCCATCCATCCATCCATCCATCCATCCATCCATCCATCCTATTTACCCACACATCTGTCCATCCATTTGTCCACCCACACAGTCATTCACCTACTTATATCTCTATCTACCCACCTTTGCACTCACCCACCCATTCCTCCACCTGGCTGTCATCCTATCCATCCATCTATCCACCCATCCCATCTTCCACCCATCCATCCATCCGCCCCCTCATCTATCCATCCATCCATCCATCTCCATCCTACTTATCTACACATTCCATCCAACCATCCCATCCATCCGTCCATCCATCCAACCACCCATCCATCCCATCTGTTCATCCACGCATCCATGTATCCATCCATCCATCCTTCCATCCATCCATCCATCCATCCATCCATCCATCCATCCATCCATCCATCCAATATTTACTGAGACAATACTGTGGCTCTGCTGCTAAACAAGACACACATGGCATCTGCTCTCATGTTGCTTGTGATTTGGCAGAAGGGAGACAGACCTTGCCCATCTAACTACCCAATGAACTATCTAGTTAACAATTGGAATAAGTGCTAAGAAGGAAAAACACAGACATCTATGAGACCATATAGCTGGGGAGGCGACTAGTCTGGGGGAAGCAGAGTCAGGAAAGGCTTTATGGAGGAAGCAACATTGAAGCTGAGTCATTCATTCATTTGTTCATTCATTCAATGCTTTTAGGAATCAGCATGGCCATTTACCTGTGTGAATCATCTCTGCCTTTCCAGGCCTAGCTCACAGCAGCAGAGCAAGACTAAAATGTGTGCCTGGCCTGGTCATATGTATAGTCTTCAACCAGCATTGGGTGTGGCTGTTACTCCTAGATCTGGGACCATGGGTGTCTTCTCTGACCCCTTCAAGAATTTCTAATCCAGCTGTGGGAAGACATAGTGGTATCAGGAGAAGAATGGAGGAGAGACAAACAGACTGAGGCTTAGAGAGCTTGTCAGACTTTCACCTTGACATCATGTTCAAATCGTCCCTGCTACCAAGAAGGAACTACAGATGGCTCTGAAGCATGTGAAAAGATGCTCAACCACGCTCATAATTAGGGAAATGCAAATTAAAACTGCACTGAGATACCGTTTGTCACCTGTCAGATTGGCAAAGCTCAAAAGAGGCTTGGTAACGCTGTGTGTTGGTAAGGGAGGGAGCAAGAGGCTGTGTCATACTACACACTAGGAGCGTAAGTGGATACACTCTTTACAGAGGGCAGTTTAGCAATAACTGTCAAAACTGGGTACCCTCTGACCCAGTAATTCTGCCGCTAGGAATCTGTCCTACCAAGAGCTCATGTGTGTGTGAAATGGGATGCATGCCCATGAGAGCTAATATTTACTGAACCCTAACTATGCGCCAGAAGCAGTTCTAAATGCTTCCCTTGAATTAACCTTTAATCAACACGATGGGCCCAGGTTGGTGCAATTGATCTCCCCATTCTGGATCACTCATGACAGGCTTATTTGTAATAACAAAAGATTATCAGCTACTAACTGCCTATCAATAGAAGAATGGTTAAACAAACTGTGCTCTATCCATAAAATGGCATGTTATGCAGCTATAAAATCGGATGAGGAGCAATCTCTAAGATAGAGTTTTAAGTTAAAAACAAAGGTACAGAAAACAATAGGCAGAATGTACTATAACTTATGTTTTTTTTAAAAAAAGATATGTTTGTGTGTATAAATACATACACACATATACATACATATGGTGACAGGCCTCCTTTTTATATCTTTCAAAGATTTTTTTAATATAAACTTTTTATTTTGGAATAATTTAAGGTTTCCAGAAAAGTTGCAAAGATAGAACGGAAAATCCCAGTATACCCCTCACTGGGTTTCAGTTTCCCCTAATGTTATCATCTTGCATTACCGTGGTACATTTGTCAAAGCTAAGAAACCCACGTTGATATGTTACTATTAACTCCACTCCAGACTCTATTCGGATTTCACCAAACCCATTTTCTACTAATGTCCCTTCTCTGTTCTGGGATCCAACCCAGGTCCCAGAATGTGTTTAGTCATCACGTCTCTTTAGTCTTCCTTTTGAATGTTGATTCATGCAAATATATTATCCATTTAAAAAGAAATACAATTGAACATGAAAAACAACCTTCCCCTTCCAAATCTCCAAACAGCAATAACAACAACAACAAAAATGCTTGCCGATGTTAAAAGGGAACCCACCTTCTATCCCCGACCCCTAAGCCTTTCCATGCCTTTTGGTCTCCAGGCTATGCCTCCTCCAAAGACCCTTCCCAACCTGGAGCTCATCGCTGTCTGCCCCGTCCCCCGAGACGCTGCATGAATCTCTCTTACACAGCACTTCTCACTGCCTGCCTCACTTCACAGTTATTTATGTAAGTGTCTGTCTCCCAGCGGAGACTGTGAGCTTCCAGAGGAGGGGACGGGATCTGCGTACCCTCTGCCTCTCCTTCCTGGTGTCAGATAGGATGCTTTGACCCCAATACACATTTGCTGAATTGACACCTAGTCCCTGATGTCAGGAGGAGGAGGAGGGACGCATTTAGGGAGTTAAAAGGAACAGGCCAGCACTTACGACTGTGGGCTGGTGACCCACGCCTAATGAAAACAAATGGTAATAATAATTATATGGATAACAAGCATAATTCTATCAACTTCTATGGTTGAATAATCGAAATCTAGCTCTTTCCATGGATGATCTACTTTAATCATAATAATAGCTCTATGAAGTAGATGTTATTATTATGTCCTTTTTTTCTTTGAGATGTAGTCTTGCTCTGTTGTCCAGGCTGGAGTGCAGTGGCATGACCTCAGCTCACTGCAACCTCCACCTCCCAGGTTCAAGCAATTCTCCTGCCTCAGCCTCCAGAGTAGCTGGGACTACAGGTGTGTGCCACCATGCCTGGCTAATTTTTGTAGTTTTTTTTTTTTTTTTTTAAGTAGAGACAGGGTTTCACCATGTTGGCCCGGCTGGTCTCGAACTCCTGACCTCAGGTGATCTGCCTGCCTCAGCCTTCCAAAATGCTGGGATTACAGGCGTGAGCCACTGCCCCTGGCTACTATGATATCCATTTTAGACATGAGAAACACCAAGGCTCAGAGAGACAGTGACTGACCCATGGAGGGTCAAGAATGCTGCTGAAATTCACATGCAGGATATTGTGATGTTACACTATACTGAATTTGGCATGTCTACATTTTGCTAAGGAAACCAAGGCTCAGAGAGGTGAAATAATGTGCCCAAGTCCACCCAGCTACTAAGAGGCAGAGGTGAGATTGAAACCCAGGTTTGGCTGACTCTGGTCTTAACTGGATTGCTCCCCAGAGACCCATGCCAGAGACCCAAGGACTGCCCATGGGGAAGGGTCCTGCTCTCCCCAGCCTCAGTCTCCAATGGTCCTGCCTGAGCCCCGCTCACCTGGCACAGGAGAATCAGAGGCTCTCGGAACTCGGCCTGACAAATGGCACAGATGTCACCGGCTTCTGTGCACTGCTGCCCAGTGGCTCGGACTCCATAGTTCTGTTTGAGGGAGGGGAGAGGCAAATATAGCTATGGACACTCTTGGGAGCCATGCCCTCAGGAGCACTGTGATATCTGTGGGCTGAGGAAGGGGCCACTGCTGTTTCCAGCTCCTAATTCCCCATACCTCAGTGGGGACCACCTGAAGCCAACTCACCTGAGAGGTGCAGAGAAGCTTCAGGGCTTTCCTAACTCCGCCCACGCGTCCACAGATGTCGAAGGACTGAAAGGAGAGCAGGGTGGTGGCTGAAAAGTACCCAAGGATCTCTCGTAACCCCTGCATAATCACCTCACCCCATCCCCTCACCCTCCATCCATTTTTGATTCAGAACATTTTTAGGGCCCCTCTTCCCATTTGCACTTCTTCCTTCCCAACAGTGTTGCATGGCTTTTGTCTTGCTGCCTAACATCAACAGTTTCCCCTGCTACCTAGGCCAGAATAGCAACTATATAGCACATATAGTGCCTATTTCCCCTCCCAAGCCCAGGGCAGGCATTGCTAATCGATCACAGCACTCTTACTCTGAGCACAGCCCACCCTGATAACCCTTCTCCATCTAGCACTCCAGTCAGCCACTGTGTTGATCAGAACCAGCAAGTAATCAGTACGCCCCAATGGCTGATACTGCGTGGATTGCTGGAAGGAAGGAGAGAGAAGAACTCATGCATCCTCCCAGGATTGTCTAAAGCTAGAAATGGAGAGCCAAAGAGAAAAAGAAGGATGTATGGATTTTTAGGGGGTAAAAAATCCTCTGATTTGTACTAATGATGAAAAGAAAAGCACTGCATACTAATTTGAGGGGTTGAGGGTGTGCAATTTAGCACGGATACTATTTTTGAGGTAAGAGAGATAGAAAACATTCGGTAGAAGTGTGGTTGGGAGCTTTTGGCTTTAGAGGCTGCCTGCCTGGGTTCAATGCTTGTTCTGTTGTCTTTACCTGAGTGATCTTGGGCAAGTAACCTCAGTTTCTAACCTCCCTGAACCTCAGTTCCTTAACTTGTAAAATGGGAATAATGGGGGCCAGGTGGGGTGGCTCATGCCTGTCATCCCAGCACTTTGGGAGGCTGAGGCGTGTGGATCACTTGAGGTCAGGAGTTCGAGACCAGCCTGGCCAACATGGTGAAACCCCATCTCTACTAAAAATACAAAAATTAGCCAGGTATAGTGGTGAATGCCTATAATCGCAGCTACCAGAGAGGCTGAGGCATGAGAATCGCTTGAACCCAGGAGGCGGAGGTTGCAATGAGCCGAGATTTTGCCACTGCACTCCAGCCTGGGCAACAGAGCGAGACTCGGTCTAGGAAAAAAAAAGGGAGTAATAATAGTATGTACCTTGAAGGGTTTATGAAGATGACTATTGGAAAGAATATCATATGGTGAGCTTCATAGGTGAGAAATTAGGGTAGATTAAACCAGAAAAAATACTGATACATGTTACAATGTGGATGAACCTCAAAAATACAATGTTAAATGAAAATGCCAGACACAAAAGGGCACCTATTACATGATTCTGTTTATATGAAACATTCATAATAAGTATATTGATAGAGACAGAAAAAGAAGATTTGTGGTTGCCAGGGTCTGTGGGAAGGGGAGGTTGGAAGAATGGGGAGTGACTGCTTAATGGGTACAAGGTTTCTTTTCAGGGTGATGAAAATGTCTTGGAACTAGACAGAGGTGGTGGTGGTTGCGTGACATTGTGAATCCGCTCAATGTCATTTAATTGTACACTTTAACATAGTTACTGGAGGCTGGGCGAGGTGGCTCACGCCTGTAATCCCAGCACTTTGGGAGGCAGAAGTGGGCAGATCACTTGAGGTCAGGAGTTCAAAACCAGCCTGGCCAACATGGTGAAACCCCGTCTCTACTAAATATACAAAAAATTAGCTGGGCGTAGTGGTGGATACCTGTAGTCCCAGTTATTTGGGAGGCTGAGGCAAGAGAATCACTTGAACCCAGGAGCAGAGGTTGCAGTGAGCCAAGATTGCGCCACTGAACTCCAGCCTGGGCAACAGAGTGAGACTCTATCTCAAAACAGTTCGTGGTTAATTTCATGTCGTGTGAATTTTCCCTCAATTAAAATAAATAAAGAAATAAATCAGCATGGGTGCTCTAGGCTCCCCCAGGGCCCCCTGAGGCCTTACTGAATGGGGCCCTCCTTAGGCTGGCCCTCCAGCCTTGGGGCCACCTCACCTTGCAGAGGCTGTAGAGAACGATCAGGACCCCTCCCAGGAAGTAGCTGTTGGAGGAGTCGTCACCCATGATGTATTTGTACCACAGCTGGATGGGGACAAGGGATCGGAACAGCTGGCTCAGCTCCTCGATGACCAGATAGAACTTTCCCTGCAACCACACGGAGAACATCAATTATTATTAGCAGTAAAGACCCAAAGGACCTGGCTGGGGGGCCCCCTGCCCCGGGTAGTGATGACATTCCAGGTCACAGGCAGGCCATTAATCAGCTCTGGAAAGCACTCAGGCCAGCTCCTAATGGGGCTGCGATATGGCCAGGGAGACGCGGCCCCTGCCCACTGCCCTCACCCGCCACCCAGCAGCCCAGAAGATCAAAGTGCCCAGGATTGAGGATCGAGTTTCAGGGTAGGAGAAACTCTACACCTTCGGGCAGAAGGCTGGAGAGTGGGTCACCCTCTGGGTCTTGCTGCAGCTTGGAGGGCTCAAAGCCCAAGGTGGGGGCACAGTCCCTGCCCTCCACACCCAGGCCATCCTCATCTTTAGAGGGCTGACTCGAGCATCACAGCGACTGCTCTCAGGGGCCCAGGCAGGATGGGCACAGAATGCAGGTAAGCCCAGGCCATAAGGCCCAAAGCAGGGAGATACGTGTCCTTCCTAGCTCTACCACCTGCTCTCTTCCAAGGAGGCAGGATGAATACCTAGTTGTGTTGAGAGAAAACAGGGGCCGGGTGTGGTGGCTCATGCCTGTAATCCCAGCACTTTGGGAGGCTGAGGCAGGTGGATCACTTAAGGTCAGGAGTTCGAGACCAGCCTGGCCAACATGGCGAAACCCCAACTCTACTAAAAATACAAAAATTAGTAGCTGGGCGTGATGGCGCACCGGTAATCCCAGCTACTCAGGAGGCTGAGGCAGGAGAATCGCTTGAACTTGGAGGCGGAGGTTGCAGTGAGCCAAGATCACACCACTGTATTTCGGCCTGGGCAACAGAGTGAGACTCCATCTCAAAAAAAAAAAGAACACGACTTAGGTACTCACACTGGGCTGGGATTGAACCCGACCTTGCTGGATGTTCATGACCCTTAGTTTCCCCATCGACAGAGTGGGAATCAGAACTCCCACCTTACGGGGTTGCTTTGAGGATTAAAGGAGATGAACAGGATAAGCATCTAGCATTATTCCTGGAGAAAAATCCTATTTATCTTCCTTCCCTTGACCTTGGACAAGTCTCTCAAGCTTTCTGTGGCCTGTGTTGTGAAATGGAGATGAAAATAAGCCCACTCTGTAGTGTCGAATAAAGTTAAATACCTACCTCCTTTATGACCCAGCAACTCCAGTCTGAGCTATTTACCCCAGAGAAATGAAACATGTGTCCACATGTATGCCAATGCCCTTAGTGGCTTCATTCATAAAATCCCCAAACTGGAAGCAGCCCAGACGCCCATCAATGGAAGAATAGATAAACAAACGATCATGTATTTATACAACAGGATACTGCCCAGCAATAAGAATACATGAATGCCTGACGTTTGCAATGACATGGGCGAATGTCACAAACATCATGTCGAATCAAAGAAGACGGTCATGGAAGAGTATTTGTTGCATAATTCTGGTTTATACTAAGTCCTAGAATAGGTAACACTAATCTGAGATAATAGAAATCAGATCCCTGGTTGTCTGGGGTAAGGGGTGGGGAGAACTGACTGCAAGGAGGTGTCAGGAAATTTTGGAAAGGGATAGAACTATATATATATATATTTTTTTTTTTTCTTTTTTTCGAGACAAGGTCTTGCTATGTTGCCCAGGCTGGAGTGCAGTTGTGCAACTATGGCTCACTGCAGCCTTGATATCCCAAGTTCAAGCGATTCTTCCACCTCAGACTCCCAAGTAAATGGGACCACGGGTACACGCCACCACATCTGGCTAATTTTTTTGTATTTTTAGTAAAGACAGAATTTCACGATGTTGCCCAGGCTGGTCTCGAACTCCTGAGCTCAAGCAATCTGCCCCTCATCAGCCTCCCAAAGTGTTGGAATTATTGGTGTGAGCTGCTGCACCTGGCCTAGAAATATGAAATATTTTATATCTTGATTGGGATGGGGGACACATGGGTGTGCACATTTGCCAAAACTAATTGAAATATACACTCCTAATATACGCAATTTATTGTATTTAAATCCTGCTTCTATAAAGCTGATTAAATCAAACAAACAACCCTGCCCCAAGCATCCATATCTGTAAAAATATGAATAATCTTTATGCCAACAATTTTATGTCTGGCAATTTACCCTAACAAAATAATCAGAGATATGTGCAAAGATGTGCCTATAAGAATGGTCACTATAGCATTCTTTGTAATACTAAAGAAAAAAAAGAGTAACAAACAAGATGTACAAAAAAGGGTCTGATTATGTTAGAGATCTGTAATGGAAAGCCATACAGCCATTAAAAATGTATCCTGAAGAAATAGCAACTTCATGGTGAAGAAAGCAAACATACATCATATTAATCAGGTGATAAAGGTTAACATCCCCAGTGAGAAGTCATTTTGACATCCTGAACTCTCTGACATGATGTCCTGAAAAGACACAGTATCACTTCTGTGGTATTGTCGCCAAAACTCATCAACGAATTCTAATCTAATCATGAGAAAACAAGAGACAAATCCAAGAGACATGGATCTCTCTCTCTCCTTTTTTTTTTTTTGGTTTTGTAGAGAGATGAGGTCATGCTGTGTTGTCCAGGCTGGTCTCAAACTCCTGGGCTCAAGGGATCCTCCCACCTCAGGCTCCCAAAGTGCTGGGATTATAGGCATGAGCCATTGCACCTGGCCCCAAGTTGAAGGGGCCCAACACTCTTGAAAAATGTCAAGATCATGAGAGACAAAGAGAAGACCAAGGAATGTGAAGTTGGAGAGAATTAAGGAGACATGACAAGTAATGTAACATGGGATCTTGGATTCAATCCTATTCTCTCTCTCTCTCTTTTTTTTTGTTTTTTTTTTCTGTTTTTTGTTTTTTGTTTTTTTTTAGACAGAGTCTTGCTCTTTCACCCAGGAAGGCTGGAGTGCAGTGGTACAATCTCAGCTCACTGCAACCTCCGCCTCTCAGGTCAAGCAATTCTTCTGCCTCAGGCTCCCAAGTAGCTGGGATTACAGGTGCACACCACCACGCCTGGCTGATTTTTGTATTTTTAATAGAGATGGGGTTTCACCACGTTGGCCAGGCTGGTCTTGAACTCCCGACCCCAGGTGATACACCTACTTCGGCCTCTCAAAGTGCTAAGATTACAGGCATGAGCCACCGCGCCCAGCCCTGATTCAATCCTATACTGTAAAAAAAAGTCAATAGGCCAGGTGCAATGGCTGACGCCTGTAATCCCAGCACTTTGGGAGGCTAAGGTGGGAGGATCCCTTGAGCCCAGGAGTTCAAGACCAGCCTGGACAATATAGAATGACCTTGTGTCTACAAAAAATCAAAAGATGATCTGGGAGTGGTGGTGAGTTCCTGTGATCCCAGCTACTTGAGAGGCTGAGGAACGAGGATGACTTGAGCCTAGAAGTTCGAGGCTGCAGTGAGCTATGATTGTGCCACTGCACTCCAGCCTGGGTGACAGAGTAAGACCCTGTCTCAAAAACAAAATTGAAAAACAAAATAATGTCAATGGGGCAACTGGCAAAATGTGAATAAGGTCTTTAGTTAATAGTAACAGTATTGATGTTCATTTCCTGCCCTTGCTAATTGGACTCTGGTATATCAGATATCAACATTAGGGGAAGAGGAGTGAAGGGTATATGGGAACTCTCAGTATTACTTTTGCAACTTTTCTTTAAGTCTAAAATTATCTCAAAATTAAAAGTTAAAAAAGAAATCATCCTGATGAAAGATATCATTTGACCCAAGCAAATGCTCATATTATTGTTCCAAATGGAAATAATAGAGAATGCAAAAAAAAAAATACTCATTCTTTTTGTGTTTTTCTGCTCTCTCCAGATTTTTTATACTGAGCATGTGATATGTTTAAATTAGAGGGGAAATGAGTCTGGATGTGGTGGCTCACACCTGTAATCCCAGCACACTGGGAGGCCGAGGTGGGCAGATCTCTTGAGGCCAGGAGTTCAACACCAGTCTGGCCAACATGGTGAAATGCTATCTCTACCAAAAATACAAAAAATAGCCGGGTTTGGTGGCACATGCCTATAATCCCAGCTACGTGGGTGGCTGAGGCGTGAGAATCACTTGAACCCAGGAGGTAGAGGTTGAAGTGAGCCAAGATCACATCATATGCGTGGCATGTGGACAGAGACTTTATAGCCACCTTTTATATTCCATCTTGATCAGCTGGGCACAGGTCACTCAGAAGAGGATTCCTTGGAGCACATATACCCACATCTACCAAGGACCAAGAAAGGGCATCCAGTCATCACTCACCACCTGCCTGATTTTTGTGACTAGTTGGCCACCTCCAGTTGTGAGGTCATTGTTTCTCAAAGGGCCCTCCTTTCCCCTCCTGACTCCCACCAGTCCCTGAGTCCCAGAAACATCCCCTGGAAGGAAATACTGGTTTCCCTCTGGAACCTTTGGGAAGATGGGGGTGATTGGAGAACAGAGATGTAGGGGGTGGCCACCATGCTTGTTTTACATGGACAAGGGCATGATGGATGCTGGACCAATGGACAGCAACTCAATGGATGGCCAGGGCTAATCAAGTCAGTCCATATCCTGCTGCAGATCCCAGGATCTGCAGAATACCCATGATTTGAACTCTGATTTCCTGAACCACCCACCCTCAGCTGCCCCATGCCTCCCTCATGTCTCCCAAATTGCTCTCACCCAGGGTCTCTCAACTCAACTCTTGCATGTTCCATCTTACCCAGGACCAAATTGTCCAACCTCTCTCAACTGCCAGTCTTGACCTGCTGTTTTTTTTTTTCCCACTTAAAACATTGTGTTTTTTAGAGATGGGGTCTATGTATGTTGCCCAGGCTGGTCTCCATCTCTTGGGCTCAAGTGATCCTCCTGCTACCTTGGCTTCCTGAGTCCCCTGTAGGGACTACAGATGTGAGCTGTAGTCCCTACATGGGACTACACGCCTGGCCTTAACCTACTTTTGTCACTCTTCGCTACATTCAGCGCATCCCTATATAACTCTT